AGGAATGTTTTTAGGAACAAGATAGGAAGAAAAGCAGAAAGACATAAGGAGATTTGACAGAAGTGGGGAAGATGTTCTGGTTGAAATCTGGTAAATAATTTTATTTCAGATGTTCCAAGGAAGCTTTTGTTCTCCTTTCTCTTGCTTCTGCCAAGGAATGCAGGTAAGGATGTGTTCTTGTGAATCACAGGTAACTATACTATTTGAACAGACACATCAGCTCAAGGACATACAACAGCAGCAGTGGTCCCAAACCCCAGGCCCTTTCCATTGGTTCCAACAAGCCAATAGAAGGAGTTATATACTTTAATGGAGATCAAACAGAACCCAAATGGATTTGTCCCAGGCAAAGGGCTTTAGGAGAGCCTTGGTCCATAGGGCTTTCACAGCAATGTGCAGCAGCCCATTGGGAACACATTGCCTCTAGTTTCCATTACTCCAGCACATCTCCTGGCACTGACAGAAAGCACCAAGCATGCAGGTGCAAGGGAAAGACAGGCTTTACGCAGAAGAAGAACTGGAAATAGATAAGGATAGCAGCCCTTCAATTCTGTTAGAGAGTAAAAGCCCCTGCTGCTGCTATGCTTCTCCAAACTACTTAAGATCTGCTGTGTGGCACACAGTGGTCTCTGGCTGAGTAGTGTGGAGAGCCTGAGGATAGGCATGCTTCAGCCTACTGTCATTTGGAGTGGACGAGGCTGCACTGCACAGATCTAGAGACTTTTAGGATCCCATGGGATAATGGGCAGCCTTGAGGCATTCCTGAGATCATTCTGGCATTTCAATTCACAAGGTCAGAGCTCAGTCACAGCCTACTTGTGTTGTCATGCTATATGGTTTTTGAATCAATGCACTGAAAAGGTGGGGTTAAATTATGAGATGAAGGCATAAGAGAAGTGTCCAAATATGCAAAGCCTGCTGGGGTAGACTTAGAGGGTACTCATGAGGTGCAAGGAGCCTTACTGGCTATTATGCCTGTGGACCTAGCAGCAAGCCAAACTGACATTCACTGATCCATTCTGGGAGACAGAGGTACGGCTATAGCTATTGATAGCAATAAAGGCCCCAGTCCTTCCTGCAAAACATACGACCATGAGGCTGGCAGTCAGGACACCCCTTAGTTCTCAAGGTAAGGAAAATACACTGACAAGAAGAGGGAATAAACAGTAAGGAGTGGAGAGTAACAGGTTATCCAGCAAACAGCTTAGGCAGAAAAAAATCAAATAGAAGTTGCTGTAGTTGTACCAAAAGCATGGACTTTTGCACAGTTTTTTGGGAAAGAGGGGCAGTATACCTCTAATTGAAAGCCCATAAGAAACAGATATCAAACACATGGTAGCCACTTCCACAGGACACAACAACTAGGACAGAATCATGAAATGTGGGGCTGGAGGCCATTGCCTATATTCCCTACAACATATTATCATCAGCTTCCATTTTCGTGGCAAAGCATTTGGTGAAATCATGGCAGGAGACAGTTAAAATTGCAGTCAGCTTCAAAGCCAGTAGTTGTATATTATCATAAACCTGCACTCTCTAACATCAGTGTCACAGAATGCTTCCTGAGATGTCATTCCATGCAAACACAGGCCATACAGTGTGTGTTAAGCAGGGGCACTGTACAGACCAGAACCTCTTCCCCCTTTGAGAAAGGTGAATCCCATCCAACATCAGCAGGCCTGGTCCCATGTAGACATTTTCATTATTGAAAAACCCAAAATTGTGGCAGTGACACCAGCCACAGAGCCATGTATTAATACACTGGGCCCATTTGTTTCTTCCAATGTTGCTTCCTGCAACTGGAAGGACAGAGGAAAAAATTACGAGTGCTCCAGATTCCCTTAACAGCTGTCCCAAGGCCCTGAAGCCTCTTTTGATTGCCCTTGGACTACACATTGTGGCTTCATTGCCACACACATGGAAGAGCAGTAGTGGGTAATAGTCTGAGGGCTGTACCAGCCTAGGAAGTTTCCTAGTGATGTCCTTAACCCAGGCCCCAGGGAGGCAGCAGTCTTCAGAACAAACCTATGAAGAAACCATGTAAAAGGAGTAACGCTAGTAAAAAAGCCAAGTGGACCTGTGTCCCAGACCTACTTGGAAGGATAGGTTCTACATCAGACCCTATATTGTAAGAAGAAAAGAAAGGAAACAATTCTCTTTGCACTTGTACAGCCTATGCCAAGGTCAAGGGGCTTCTTGTTCTTCTGCATGGAAAATCTGAAAAGTTTCCCTCTGCTGGAAATGCAAGTGAGCTTACGTCCCTACCCATGGGAGGGGGGTTGGACTAGATGATCTTTGAAGGTCCCTTCCAACCCAACCCATTCTATGATTCTGTTCCATGATATGTTGAAGCCAATATCTGTAATGTACCCTGATCAGCCTAGGGTAGGAAAGGCAAGTTCAAAGCAGCACTAAAACTGGAACAATGCTCATTTCCTAATTCTGTAAATCTTTCATCCTTGATCCTGGCTTTTTTACTTTCAAGAATTGTAGCAATACTGTACAGCTATAGCACACTAAAACACATAAAGCCTTCCTTCCACTTATGAAGCAGAAGGAATAAAATCCCCCAACAATACAGTTACTTATTCAGCCTGAAGCAGAAGCAGCAGGAGCATTTCAAATCAGAACCAGAAAAAAAACAATCCAAGTTTATTTAGTTAAATGGGCACCAATTGAAGACCAAAAATCTCTTAACATTAACACATTGCAAGGTGACTGTCACTATACATCATGCAGACGGACAGTGTCAAACTTGCTAGGTGCCCTTCTGAGCTGAACCAGTGCAGCAACAGACTGGATAATTTTCTCTTCTGGCACCAGAGAAGTTATGGATTATAAATTACATTCACTATGTTTTACTGACAAGTACTTACTTCAGTGAAAGAGAATAGTCGTGCTTGCTTGTTTGACTATTTCTTACAAGGTAGCTACATTCTTTACATAAACGCAACAGGTTTTCTGCATCTGTCCGACTGATTGCTCCATGATACCATCTAGGAAAAAGCAGAGAGATGAATACATACACACATTCCAACTCACTCCTTTCACGACTTCATTTCTTTAAGGTAAGAATAATGGTTAATATCACATGGATATCTTTAAGATCTAAGATATTATGGATAAAAAGCACATTGTTTGCATTATCTGAAGTTAACTTTACAACTTGTGGAGGCCTGTAGATCCTGTCAGCTGAAGGAAAAAACTTAGATCAGGAGAGCGTGCAACCAGATTGGTGCACATATTTATGTAAGAAATTCCTACTCAGAGCAACACATTATAATCTCTGTTTTGCAAGAAGTAGATTCACAATATACACATTTACTCTATTTCATGCCTGTGATATATCAATACTTCAACTAATATAAAAAAGAACAAAAAGAAAACAAACAAAAACAAACAAAAAGAAAATCACATCTGAAGAATATGAACAGTTAATAGTGAAAAAGATTTGTTAAAATAAATCTTTGAGAAAGGAGGGAAGTGTGAAGATCTATAACAAAGACACTTGTTCTGAACACAGCTGTGACAACTCAGAGTGCTTTAAGCAAATCTCTGGTGGATCTGTGGAGTGGGTGTGATCAATTCAAGGAAGAAAGGAAATGGTGAGAGGAGAGGTGGGTCCTTCACTAAACTGACCACTGCAAACAAAGAACTTCCTCAGCACGTGCTGCTCTGTATCACCAATTAAAATCTCATAGTCCAGTAGCAAAAGCTTTGACCCTTCCCCCAAATTTCCTGAGCAATGTAACATGCCTGGCCCTGCACCGGGTTAATCACATCTCTGAGGAAGACCTCTCCCCTCCTGCAATTGCAAGATGCACTTTGAAACACTATGTTTCCTGCCTAAGTGGGATAATGCATAAATCAGAAATGCTCTCTGTCTATTATTACCAAGAAATGTCACTGGCCTTATGCAAAAAATTTTTCTTCCAATTTTATTTCTCCGCTGAACTTACTCTAAGAGAGATGTTTCAACTAAAAGGTAAGTGAATAAAGACCAGACAGATCCCTTTGACAGAAGTCATGCTCTTAACTACCTTGTGCTGATGTCAGCTCCACTGTCAAATCTGATGCATGTGCTGAAGAAAAATTGGTGCTCAAATTAAAAATTCATTGTGTATCTGGTTACAACTAAAGTCTACATTAGAAAAAGTTAAAAAGAGGGTTATGCTATTATATATTCAAGACAGACTAGAAAGGGAGGCCCTGACAGCTCCCTCACTTCACAAATAAAATTGAGACACGGATGTGAATGTTTTCAGGCAGTGTTCTCTTTATCTCGCATTAGATATTTACTGCCAAAGGATATTTCTCAACAAACAATTTAAAGACCAGGTTGTCTTCTGAGTGTAAAGGAAGAATATTAACACTAAGTGTAAATCAGGCAATGGATTTGTGAGAGTTTAAAAATTATTCCTATTAGCTATCAATATTTTTCCTTTTTTTTTCTCCACAAAGGACCAAATAAAACAAAAATAAAATCTGACCTAGTCAAAACCAGGGAGATAGATACCCTGAACTCTGATATACAGAGGGAAGTATTTTATATATTCTTCAGATCTGGTGTTCCCCAGCTTCACGGAAAAAGAACACAGGGCTGATTCCAGGAAGCAAAACCTGCTTTTAAAACAGTTGGAAAAAAAACAGTGAAGTACGAAGACAACTACTGATGGGAGAACATCTGATTTAGAAGTGACAACTGGAAGGTGTTTTGGCTACAGCTGAGAATAAAGAGCAGTATCCAGGAGTGTAATTGCTTGTGAATCATATGCCTGTGTAAATGGGACACCCAGATTGCTCCTGTTCCAGCTAGCTAGTGAGATAAGCATTTAATCAGCTTAAAGTTCCTAGCTAACTTGCTGTTTCAACTGTATTGGGTCTGTTTGCCCTGGGTGTATCTATTTTTTAAATGTCAACATATAAGTATTTGTGCAGAAAGGTCAAAGATTCAAATGTCGATGATGTGCTCACAAAATAGTGAAAAGACAACTGGTGAAAGATACCAATGCAAAAGCATGGGACATAAAAACCTGAAGACATGCATGTCTTCTAAGATATCCTGGAAACCATAGGCACACAATGCAAACCTGAAAGCAAAATTCAAATATAATCACACACTTTGACCTTTATCAGGATGTCCTGCCAGGATTGAAAGCATCCTGGTTGCGGTTTATAGATGGATCTTCCTACTGTCCCTTACTTTCTGAGTGGTCAGGTTTCACCTACTAAATGGCCACAGCTCCACTGAAGACAGAACAGCTGCATCAATTATACAGTAATTATAATCAGTTATTACAGCTCGTATAATACACCACACTACTCCGTTTCTGAATTGGTCAGAGCAAAACAGGAAGTCACCAGATCTTGTATATAAGGCAGGGAGGGATTCACTTTCAATAAGAGAATGGAAACAGCAGAACACACTTTCTTCTTTTCAGAGTTCTTGAGGAAATGGAAGAAATTAATTTAATTTCCCATGGTACATGAGGTACTAAGTTCATAGTTACAGATTCCTTAATCACAAGAAACTAAAAGTATTTTCTTGGTATATTATCACATCTTGGTATTTCTGCCTGCTTGGGAAACATCCTAACCTACTTATCCGCTTGTCAACTTGCATGCTTCCTTTCCTCTAGATTCTGTACTCCTTCTACAAAAAAAGACTCCAAATAGGTTTATAGAGAAGGATGGAACTGCTTGGCACGTGCTGTGGAGAGGTCTCACACTACTAAAACTTGAGCAGTTTGAATGATTATGAATCATCTCAGGCACAATAAATTTTAACTCTTCCATTTTCTGTCACATTACTGTTAACTGTGCATTCATTTCAGATTTGATCCTGCATAATGAAGACTCAAAAAAAATCTCATGTGATTAACACCTGAATCAATAACAGAAGCAAAAGTAGCTCTGCAGTTTTCAGTTGTTATTATCAGTTGCAGTTACATATAACTACAGTTATACTAAAAGAGAGAACTACACAACAATACCTTTATGAGTCAAAAGTTAATTAACAAATGCTCAACTTGCTGCAGTATTTTAAATGTAATTTTTTGGGGGTATGGGGGGCTGAGGAGCAAATGTTACAGTCAAATTTATAGCCTTTTAGTCATTTACCTAACAGTAAATTATCAGTGAGTGATTTCATAATAGTGGTTGCTACTTCCTCTGTTGGAGATAAGTCTGCAATAAACCAATGAGCAGATGGTTCAAAGGCTGAGGTTGATTAGATTGAATATGACATCATGTGGATGATACCATTCTCTGTTTCAAGCTTAAGTTTCCAAATATTGCACATAAAATTGGATGTCAAAGGAAAAGGAATTTCTGGAACTACCTTCTTTCAGATGCAATGGACAGAGGTGATTCTCTCCTACTGAGAATCTGAAGTGCAAAAGGATTGCTAATCCTCCCAGTACCACTACCATTTAGAGGTAAAATATTCTTGCAGAGAGCATGCTCACATCCGTGCTAAATTTTGCCCTATCTCTCCTGTGAAAATAAATTCTGCATCTAGCTTAGAATGACAGTGTCTGGCATGGGACTGCCTTCAGGGATTCAAGACACAGCTTCCTCACTTCTACTGAGTGAATCCATTGGCTTCTCGGTGCTCACAAATATCAGTGTAACCTGTGTAAATTGCTCCACAAGATTTTCCTTTCTTTGTGTAACAGAGGATTCTGGCCCCTTCTGTGAGGCTGCACCTTTGGTATGATACAGGGCAGTGGATCATTCCATCACACAAGCTAGTCTGTCTAAACAATTCAAGGAAGGGTAACAATGAGGCAGGACAGAGGCCATTCTTGCAGATACCAAACATTCACTCCAGGGAATTCCCCGAGAACTTGAATCTGGAGCTGACAAACCTGACTCTAAATACCACCCTCAAGTTTGACACCACCAGAGTAGAAATAAGTCTCTTTCTGAAGGCTTTGTAAGTGGTCTTACCAGTCTCTCCCTGGAGCAGTATTACAGACAGATGCAAGGTACATCTGAGGTACTAGAAACATGCTATGCATCCACAAAGATGTTGAATTTATTCAGCTTTAAAGCACAATTTGTATATATGTGATATACATCTGTTTTCCCTAGTGCAATGTAATCAACATGGTTGAAAGTGGAATAACAGCACATACTTGTCAGATAAAACTCACTGCTCCTGAGATGAGTTTCCTGTTTAGCTCTATTTTGTCCCCCACAAAAGTTATTTACACTTTGCAGGATCAATAAGAATAATTTTTTGTGAACACTAACACAGCAGATACTGAGGAGGGGGAAGTGGACAGCAGGATCTGGGACACTCACTGCTCCTGTAAGCGGGGAGGCAAAGAGCTAGAGAGCAATTACTGTGCTTACTTACATCTGCTTTTCCAGTTGAATAGTTGGATCTATTCTCTCTCCCAGGATCCCACAAAATTCTGGGCTGCCATATCTGATGGGTTTAAAGCCTCCTCCAGGTGATCTTAACTGCCTGCGCTGGTCATTTGAGGGAGAAGGAGATGCTTGCCGTTTCTCACTTCCATTAAATTGGGCTGCAAGATACATAATAATTACCTCTCCAGGCAAGGTTAACAAGGACCAAAATAGTTGTAGCACTTAGAGAGGTGTGACTTTTCCCAGGGAGAATAAACATGCATGTATTAGCATTAATATGTAGTGGTTTATCTACAAAGTTACATGTATCATGTAAAGATGTTTCTAACTACACAAAATATAGTCCTAAAGCTCCCTTCTTTCCCAGTAACAAAATCCACACTCTTTTAAATCTTGTTACAATAACTACTGATCTTCACTTTGATACTTTCTTGCCCAAGAGATGCTACTATTAAACAAGTAACAGTGTTACTTGATAGTTACTTAAGATAGGCTTTCAGTTACCCGCCATAATTGCAACAAACAAGTGAGAATATCAAGAATCCAGCTTGCCTCAGTTTGTGTGGAATCATCCAAACAGTGATCTGGGTGAAAATCCAGACAGCTAACACCCATCTATCCACATCAGTAATACTGGCAAGCAGCAATGAATTAAAAGTGTATTCACTCACACAATGCTGGCACAAAGCTTTTATCTTGAAACACTAAAGTACAAAGTGATGAAAAGGGAAAATGTTCGTTTCTCTCACAAATTATAGTATTCCAAGAAAAGCAATATGACTTATTTTGCAAAGCTATAATTTCTTAGAGCACTGCAACATCCGTAGCAAAGTACATATTAATGATGGCAGCATCTAATTCTACACTTACGCTTACAGATTCTACATATTTATAATTTCAAAAAACAAAAGGACAGAATATTGACAGAAACAGTGAAAGGAGCTAGCCACACCATATTCCTGATGCTCACTGCCTTCTATGATTTGTTTCTGCATCAAAGACCAACAGCCCCAGCTGCAGGTGGATTATTGTTTTAAGATCATCTAGTTGGGACCAGGCAGAAAAAACTTCACTGTATCAGGAGGCAAACATCACAATGCACACAAACATACACAGTTCAATCAGCTCCTCAGTGAGTTTCAACAGCAATATCAGAGAAAACATTACAAGGACAATTAAAGGGACTCCCTACAACAGCATGTTGTAGATCTTGTGCATTTAGTACTCAACTTACTATAGCACACAGCCAAGGTATCAGTATGGTAGCACTCACTGTTTTAAAGCAAAACTGTACAACAGGAAGAGAGCTGTAACGTTCAAAAAGATAATACATGCAAAATAGAGATGAGCTGGACATGAAAAATGTTTTGCAGCATTTTTTAATTTTTATTTTTATATGCTTTCCTCATGGAGCTTAGGACATTTCCAAATTCCCTCCCTACTCAGAGAAAGTAGGCAGAAATTAGTGCAAAAATTGAGCAAATGTAGTCAATCATATTCTGAGGTATGCATAGCAGAAATATGCTGGTTATTTCTTAAAATGGAAACTCAGACTTAATGTAATTATTGGATAATGAAAGCTGATTAGCATATCAAGGAGAAACACTGCATGTGTATGCTTGCCAGTGACATATAGAAACAGCACTATTATTTCATCTCTTAAGAAAAACATCTGGATGTAATTTGTGAACTCCATAAAAACTGGTGAACTTACTACCAGCTTCTGACCAAACAACACCTTTCAGACACCAAACAATCAGTTCATAAAACAAACATAAAACTTCGTTCTGACTGTAAACAGCAATATCTTTACAACATTAAGAAAGTGCTGTATATAAGAAAAATGGGGACAAACATTTCAGTTGGGCCTGTTGTGATAGATCAAGGGATAATGGTTTTAAACTAAAAGAGGGTAGATTTTGACTAGATATATGAAATAATTTTTTTACAATGAGGCTGGTGAAAGACTGGAAGAGCTTGCCCAGAGAGGTGGTAGATCCCCAACCCTGGAAACAATCCAGGTCAGGTTGGACAGGGCTCTAAGCAAGCTGATCTAGTTGAAGATGTCCCTGCTCATTGCAAGGAGGTTGGACTAGATTAACTTTAGAGGTCCCTTCCAAGTCAAACTGTGCTATGATTCTATGATTCTAGGAACATGATGGTTAGAAGCAGGATCTGTTCTCCAAAAATAGCACAGTTAATTTTCAGATGCTTTTGAATGTTTTCTCTGTCTGAAAAGCTCAGACATGTCTCTGGACTCCAGCCATATTTTTTTTTTGTGTGAATTCAATTGGCAGGAAGAAGCAGTCTGAAAGGGATATCCAGGCAGATTAAACTGACAAGCGTAATACCATCAGGCACCAACCCACACAATGTTGTTATCAGGACTGAGTTTCAGCTGCTATAAATTCCCTCTTAATCAAGGCTGTAGTGAAGGTTCAGAAGCTCATTTCCACACAACTGGGAGTGTAAAGTTTTTTATTGCTATGGTACTTCTGTTTACATAGCTGTTACAGTCATGGAACTGACTGCATACTTGACCCTTCCCCACTCTCCATGTGGCTTCTCTTCCTGTGCCCTGTAGCTGGTGCCATACACCCCTGGTGGTGGCATGCCAGAACTCCCCTCCTTCAAGCCCCCAAGGGTCCTAGGCCCCAGCTTTTTGTGCAACAGCAGTTGCAGCCAGCAAAGGTGACCAAGTTTAGCATCTACAGATCCTCCTTCTAGGTGTCCATGGTCAGTGCTGAAACCTAACACCAGATGACCCTCTTATGAGCTACCAGATGGTAGCTCTTCATAACAGAGCGCCACTTGTTTTGTAAAGCAATGCTAAGATGGGCTCTACAGACTTCACATACATTTCCTTCACCCAAAGGCTTGCTATCCCCACATGACAGCCTGGAAAGGAGGAGAGCTTGACATTCCTGGATCGGCTCTCCAGTATTACTATCTCCCTTTTCAGCCAGACTTAGTACCAGAAAGCTACTTTGTTCCTCTTGACTCAGCTCTTCTGGATAAATCAGTTTGCCCAGCTCAGCAGGAGGTCTAACAAGATACTTCCCATGAAAGCCATGAAAAACATGTTTCAGCTTCAGCTGTACAGCCTCCAATGAAACAAAACAAATTTTTTTGTGAAAGAACTCAAGCTGCAGACGGTCAAAATGCTACACTCCACCTCTGCAAGAGAGGGACACATCTTTCAGCACTGCAGTTAACAGCAGAAGTCCCTGTGGAAGGCTATATGTAGCTTGTTCCACAATGTCAGCATGACACCAGCCCCAGTCCCATGCTTAAGAGCCACAGTGCAGACATGCTCCTCTCAGCCAGAGCAGGCTTGTGCACACTTTCAGTCTGGCACATCTCAAACTCCATGTTGGAGATGAATAGGTTTTATCCATGCTTCTGCAATAAATCTTGAAATAACAGCAGAAAAACAAATGTTTTCCTTAAAAGACTTGCATGAGTAATTAACTTCATGATAATTCTAGTGTTGCTTGCTATTTTGGTTTGTTTCCTAGGTCTATCACCTGACAAATCAAAGACATTTGCTGCATAAGTCTCTTTGTATCTGCATTTCGCATCACAAACATCTTGTTCCCTTCAGATGAACTTCTAAAAATAGGAAAGTTTTACCAGAGGTTCCCTTCAGGTTCACAGCTTCCACAACTCCAAGTAGTTCAGGGATGGTAGTTGGGGGTCTGTAAAGTTCCAGTACCACTTAGACCAACATTGTGCACTTCAGAGAAATCCACCTCAGCTAAGAACTGGAAAAAAGCCACCTGGTCTACCTACATTGAAGAGCCACATTACAGAACCACAGTACACAGTAAGTCAGAAAAGCACTTCATGCATCTCAGCAGAAGTTCAATACTTCTCCACTACAAACTTTACACTGTTTCAAACTTAGAAATTGGATGTCTTCTTTTCTTATTTTAAAGATTTATAATTCCTAGGAGTTAGATTAAATATAGAGACACGAGATGAGGCAGCAGCTTATAGCCGATTGCTTACAGCCAATCCTTACACATTCCTTTGTAGCAAATAACCAGATACCTGAGACATACTGAGTTACAATGAATGACAGGTGTAATCAAAGAAATCTCAAATCACCTCCCTGTCCTCCATATGCCTTAGCATAGCTTCTAGGAGGATCTGCTCCATGATTTTCCCAGGCACAGAGGTGAGGCTGACAAGCTGGTAGTTCCCAGAGTCCTCCTTGCTACTCTTTTTAAAAATGGGTGCAATGTTTCCCTTTTTCTGGTCTTCAGGGACTTCACCTGACTGCCACGATTTTTTAAATATGAATAGATATTGCAGACACCATCTTGGCTTGGAAACAAACCCAAATCAACCACAACCTAAAGATGGAAGAACAAATGAAGCAGAGAGGCAGAATCACTCTCACAACAGATCGCCACTGCTCTAACTCCACTGTGCTATATGAAAACACATGTCTGTCACCCATGACTTCATACCTATTATGGGATCAGGTCAGAAACACCCACAAAAGATACTGTCACAACAGGCTATTTACAGAAGAGTAGCCCTGAATAGCCATGGAGAGAAGTCATTTCTCATTTCTGTACTGTGGCAATATCATGTCATACAGAATTGCAAAATCATAGAATAATTCAGGTGGAAAGGGAGTGTGGCAGGTGTCTAGTCCAACCTACTCAAGACAGTGTCTGTCATGTGATCAGATCAGGTTGTTCAAAACTTTATCTAGTCATCCCTTCACAAAGGATGAAAAAAAATCTAAAGATGGAGACTGCAAGAGCTTCCTTGGCAATTGGTTCCAATGCTTGACTGTCCTTGCAGAGAAAAAAAATTTCCCCATATTAAGCCAGAACTTTCCTGATTCAACTTATGTCTCATCTTCCCATCACACACCCACTCATTTGTGAAGAACCTGGCTCCATCTTCTCGAAGATCTTGAAGAGTTCATAGGCATTGGGAAGTTGCTGTGATAACCCCCCAAAGCTTTCTCTTCTCCAGGCTAGGCAGGCACAGTTCTCTCCGTGTCTCCTCACAAGTCATGTGTTGCAATTTCCTGTCATTTTGGTGGCACTCTGCTGACATCAGCATTATCCTTCTTGCATCAGACCATAGCATTACAGAATCACAGAATCAGAGAATCATTAAGGTTGGAAAAGACCTTTAAGATCAAGTCCAACCATCAACCCAACACCACCATGCCCACTAAACCATGTCCCAAAGTGCCACGTCCACATGTTTTTTGAACGCTTCCAGTGATGGTGACTCCACCACCTCCCTGGGCAGCCTGTTTCAATGTTTGATCACTCTCTCTGTAAAGAAATTTTTCCTAATATCCAATCTAAACCTCCCTGGTGCAACTTGAGGCCATTTCCTCTTGTCCTGTCACTAGTTCCTTGGGAGAAGAAATCAACACCCATGTCGCCACAGTCCCCTTTCAGGTAGCTGTAGAGAGCGATAAGGTCTCCCCTCAGCCTCCTCCTCTCCAAATTGAACAACCCCAGTTGTTCATTACATATGTTGTCCAAGAAATGTGAAGTAAAGAGAAACAGTCACTTTGCTTGATCTACTGGTTATGCTCCTGTTCACACAGACCAGGATGCTGCTAACCTTCATCACTAATGGGGTACACTGCTAGACACATTTGCTCCACTTCCCCTGGACTCCTTAAGTCCCTTCCAGCAAAGCTGTAACACAGCCAGTCAGCCAGTCTTCAGTCCATATCATTGCAGGGGGTTAATCTGTTCCACATGCAGGTCTTTGAGTTTGTCCTGGCTGGATTTTGTAAGCTTGCTGTCAGCCCATTTCTCCAGCCTATGCAGGTCCATCTGAACAGCAGCTCTGCACACACACACCCTCCCCCCAGTTTGAAGGCATTCAAAAATTGATGAGGTGCATTTCCTCTCCTCCTCTGTGTTACTGATGAGTGGCTGATGCTAAACAGCAAGAGTTCCAGAACAGATCCGCTGACGAATCACACTTGTAACCAGACTTCAAGAGGAATATGAATCACTAAGCACTACCGTTTGAGGTCAATAACCCTGACAGGTTTTCACATATCTAGTTGTCCACCCATCTAGTCTACAGCATTCCAAACCGGATAACACAGCTGATGCCACAACACAACATGCTGAAGGCTAAAGTCAACATAGATGACACCCACTGCTCTCCTTCCATTAATAGATCTAGTAATTTCAACACAGAAAGCAAACTGGTTTGGCAAGTAGGATTTACCCAGGGTAAATGCACACTGACTACTAATCATTGCTCTCAAGCTTCTTCCATGCTCCCTCCCAGAGCCACATCTCTTTACTTCCCTCCTCATCCCCACAATCATCACCACACACAATTCTCCATTCCAAGCTTTCTGCCAAGCTGACTTCTAAAAAGGAAGAGGAACAACCCTGCTGCTAGACACAGCTTTTCACCAGAACATGCCATTGAAGGGAAAATCATAGAGCATGTATGACTCTAGCATCCCACATGAGCATCCTGGAACATGGTCAGGCCAATTGAAACAGCTGGGCTTTGCTAGGCTCTAGCCTAACAGAGGCTCTACAAAAGAAAAAGCCTTGTAATTTAGAATAAATGAAGCCTCTCCCTCAGTCATTTCTGCAAAGAAATAGAAGAGGGGAAAAAAAGAGCAGGGTAACCAACATCAAGCATAGACATTCACAGAAAACAGTTTGTGTCTCATGTCCCTGACTGACAAGTTCTGATGTGGGAGAACTTCAACAGTTCAAAAGGTTTAATCCAAAAACAAGTTCTACATATCCATAGGGATGCTTGCAATTATAATGAAAATACTCTAAATACCAAGAAACTCATCACTGAGTAGAAGCATGTTATTGCACGCACATTACACATCTATTTTTTGTCCTACCCCTTTAAGAATTGCCCCACAATTTAAGGACTTTGCAATGCAACTCTTTCATCACAGAGCCGCTCAACAAAAAACACTATCTACATCATGTCCATTAAAATGGGGGGAGGGACAAGGAGTAGGAGAAACAGAAGTTTTACTAACATGAACCAAGTACTGAAATGGCTGACAGCAGGTCACCTGAAGCATCAAACAAAAAGTGCACTGTTCCACATCTCTGCAGCAGGTGAAGATTTGAGACTATCCACATTTGCTTTTCAGAGATTTCTCCCCCCACACACACCAGAAGAGCAGAAATACTTGAATTCTCCCAAAGTACAGTGAGAAAAAATTTCCGGGTTGGGATCTAGGAATCCTACCTGCCAGAGCTGGGATGGTGACTTTGTTCCACTCCCATGGCTGATCATACTCATCTGCAGGCCTGTCATCATCCTGTGGCAATTTGCTTTCTCGTAAACAGTGACGCACCACATTTTCAGAATCAGATTCCACAGCACTGCCTTCTGGTTCATAGGGTGTGTCATAGAGCTGCATGTTTTTCTGATGGGATTTCATGATTTCCTGCTTCTGAAACTCTGTTGGCAAAAAAGAAAATTGTATCAGCATCACTACTAACCATGCCTTATCATTACAGTCAATAATTTTAGAGCATTCAACTTCCATCCACTCTTTAATAGCCACATAATTATGCAGATGGCAAGCTTGTACAAGACTTATAAATTCTACCTCTACATTTGGAAACTGGCTGGATGCAAAAGTTTGCTCCAGCTAACAACCACAGCACAAACAGTCTCATACTGTTCAGGCCTGCTTTGCCTCAGTCTTTACTGCCAGCCTATCTTTCCACACCTCTTGAGTGGATGGACTGCAAAACAGAGATTGGAGGAGTAAAGTCCCTCCTGCTGGAAGAGAAGATCAGGTTCCTGACCACCAGAGGAACCTGAACATACACGAGTCTATAGGACCTGATGAGATGCATCCCAGAGTCCTGAGAGAATTGCTGAGGTAGTTGCCAAGCCACGCTCCATGATACTTGAAACGTCATGGCAGTTGGGTGAAGTGCCTGGAGAATGGAAAAAGGGAAACATTGCACCCATTTTTAAAAAGGGTAGCAAGGAGGACCCCGGGAACTACCAGCCTGTCAGCCTCACCTCTGTGCCTGGGAAGATCATGGAGCAGATCCTCTTAGAAGCTGTGCTAAGGCACATGAAGGACAGGGAGGTGATTTGAGACAGCCAGCATGGCTTCAGCAAGGGCAAGTCCTGCCTGACCAACCTCATGGCCTTCTATGATGGGGTGACCACATCAGTGGATAAGGGAAGAGCTACCGATGTTGTCTATCTGTAAGGTCTTTGACATGGTCCCCCACAACATCCTTCTTTCATAATTGGAGAGGTATGGATTTGATGGGTAGACTGATGGGTGGATGGGGAATTGGTTGGATGGTCGCATCCAGAGGGTAGCGGTCAATGGCTCAATGTCCAGACAGAGGTCGGTGATGAGCGGTGTCCCTCAGGGTTCCATACTGGGACCTGTAGTCTTTAATATCTTCACCAGTGACATAG